AAAATCACACCAATATGGTCCCCCTCTTGCAATTAGAATTTTGAATAGCTGAATCATAGTTCTAAACCGTACCAAATGACATCTTTCGCCTTCTAAATTACCAAAAAAATCCGGGGCCCTTCAGCAGGCCCCGAACCCCACGCCAAGGGGTGGGGGTGGGGGGTGGAGAGGGTAAGGTCGGCTTCGCATCCGCAGACTCCTCCCCCCCCCCTTTCAAATAATCCTGGATCCGCCAAGGTGAAAAACCACCAAAGATGGAAAAAAAGAGCCCAACAAAGGTTCAAACATTATCAAGATCACCGCAAGTCCACCGATTCCGAACAATGCCCTTTCAGGAAATGTGTGATCTCATCTTCGGTAATACTGCGGTCTATGGGCTAACGATTTTCAAAATTTGTCAAAAGTTTCAGCTTGACAAAATTGTAGAGGCTACGGAGGTCACGGCCACCGTCTGCCTCCGCCCAGCCGCACAAAAAGGGTTTACGGGCAGTGTCCATGGGCGTGCAACGTACAGGTACGTACATCGCATGGCCAATGTAATCAAGGCTTGATCTAGTCTAAAGGGCAGAATATAAGGTTTCTTTCGCAAGTTTCAGTTTTATTCTGTTGGGATATTATCATCAAGTTAAATGTTAAAGAAATAGCTGTGTTGTCGACGTCCTTACACTTCCTCTAATGCAGATAAAGGGTTCTATATCCGATATTAACATTTTTCCTTTTTTCATTATGGTAGCTTTGTGTGGTTTTTTAGTTTTCTGTGCTTTTTAGTTTTATTGACGACCCAGAACGAGTACAGCAAATCAAGCAATTAAGGTCTGAGCGGATTAACTGCCGTGCTTGCATTCAGATGGTTCTTGCGAACTGGCAGTGCGTGCCCTGCCAATAATTACCTACCTTGTAATTACCCTTGAGATTTCAAAACAGGGTTAAAGTGGAGAATTGTGTCACGAATTAGCCAGAGATAGATATCTGTGAATATCTGGTGAAAAATCAATCGGTGACCCTGATAGAGGGTACCCTCTACCAGGGCCGCAGTTAATATTGTGGACACTTTTTGCTGAATCTGACATCAGACCAAAATGACTGTCTATTTATCTAGAGACATATCTGTGAATATCTGTGGAAAATAAATCTGTCGCCCTGGTAGAGGGTAGATAGAGAGTACTAAACATGCAAGGGCTGCAAAGTTGACAAACGAAGTGCCCGGACATGCGCTGTATCTATTTCATACCAAACGAACAAAACACGTGGAATCTCTCCCACACGTAAACGAAGGTCACACCACGTTGTTACACCACATCTGGGCCCTTTGCTTCCGGCATTCGCACCCGTGTGCACGTAAGTCTCTCTACGAGTCATACTATTTGCTGCCTCGAGGCGCGTCTACAGCACGCCATGAACTGTGCACGTGGTGTCTCTGACTTAATGCACAAGGGACGCCGGGAGCAAATAAGACACTGTTAAGGATCATAGCTGTAACACAACACCACATCTCAGACATCAAGATATCAAATCAAAATGAAAATTGCATATGGAAGTCATTTAATGCAAAAAATCTTACACTACATGTATAACATACCGGCAGCAACACACTTATATATGTCTTCCTGATGGAAGTCATTCAATGCAAAAAATCTTACACTATAACATAGCGTCACACTTCTATCTGTCCTCCTATAACATGTAAAAATGTATTGGTCCACTGAGCTGTGTAGACCTATGGCACTTTAAAAGGTGTAATAATATATATAGAATAATTTGACATAAATACAAGAGCTATGTAAACCTATGGCACTTGAAAAGGTGCAATAAAATATGGAAGATATAACATTATAATCATATTAAATACATTCAATAACATTGTATCATACTTCAATAAAACTGAATAGATTACAAAAGAGAGTCCTTGTATATATATAAATATAAAAAGCTCTCAAAATTGTAAATATCTCTCTGTGTTGCTATCAAAAGTTGTATAGCACCCGATAAAAATATCCACAAAGAAAATTTTGTTTACAGGTATGACACTCTTCTTCCAAACCATCCTGTAATAAATCACTTTGATTATCCCTTGCATTACCTTCACCGAAGCTTTTATATGCTGGGTTCCCATGCCTAGATCAATCCATCTGGATTGGTCTAACTCCCTGGGGAGTCTCACTAAATTGCTATCAACTTAACCGGCTAAAATGTCTGTCACGCCTACCGAATCAGCTAGGGGGTAAGGTAATTACCCCCTAACAGCTTTACTTGGTGTAACAGGTATTTGAGCTGGCCAAGTTGATAGCATTTTAGTGAAACTCCCCAGGGAGTTAGACCAAGCCAAATATCTGTGGGAATGGTCCCTTAATCATATATGTAACTTAGTTGTCTTGGCGAATGATTTTCATTGGCTAAGCTGATTGTCACATTCTTCCGTGTTGGGCATTTTTGATTATGTGCTGTGAATACCCTTGTTTCAGCCACTCTTATTAATTGCTGAACTTATGTAACTTAGTTGTCTTGGAGAATGATCTTCATTGGCTAAGCTGATTGTCACATTCTTCAATGTTGGGCATTTTTGATTATGTGCTGTGAATACCCATGTTTCAGCCACTCTTACTCATTGTTTAACTTTCCCTCTCTAAAATATATATCGTAAGCCTTGAAAGGTCCCTGCTTGGATTTTTCACTGGAAGAAGACCAAATTCCTTTATGCTGAAAAAGTGACTTCCTGTTATAAATATGCCTTGTTTGAGTCACTGAACTTAGAAAATAATTAATTAGCCAATCACATGGTTGCTCGTCATAAAATAAGATCAAATATCTTGCAAGTTTATCTAGGACACCCGACTTGAAAAGCTTTCCTATGAATCCGAGAAGAGAAAATTCTAAACAAACCCATGGGTTTTTGTAATTTTTCAGAATAAAGGCACGTATGTCTTTCACAAATCCAAACGCTGGCATAACATCGTCCTCTATTTGAATGTAGTATTCTGAAATATTTCTTCCATAGAAAAACATGAACGCATAGTCCACATTTTGCTTTGATCTCCATGCAACCTGATTTGGCGGATCATTATAATTCCTTTTTAAATTTGTTAATGGTGGGTAATATTTCTCTGGAACTTGCATAACTAATAGAAATCCACTGTTCATGTAGTCACCATATCTGGCGCTGATGTTTTTCAAAACAGCGGCATTATAGTCTGTATCAAAATTAGCCAAAAACACCAGAAGAACAATGCTCTCTTTTTCTTTTAGTGTTGTCCTGCTGATAATATATCGTATAGTCTGCAACAGGTACTCGGCCCCCCGTGCTCGTTTGACAGACGGAATACCAATGGTGAGAAAACCTGAAAGATTTCAGTTCAAATAAGTTAACATCAGATTTCATAAAAATCAATTATGACAAGAATTTTTGGAAACAAATTTTCCATTACATATGATTCAAATGGTATCGAAGTCCCTGAAGCAATATTATGCAAAAAAATTTTTCTTGTTTTTTGTTAAATTGAATTGCTGTAGTGGAAAAGCCGAGTGTTTTAACGACCTAACATGCAGGTGTTTCAGGATATGAAACCGCTGACTTAAGTTTAGCGTTGTCTCATTTCTGCATGTAACCGAATTCTGCTGAACTGCACATGTCAGTCCAAATTACAGGCATGTAAATGCTTGCCCTAGATTTCATCAGAAGCCATTGGAGTAGCTGGCAGGAAAACATTCTGAGGAACTTAGCAATGAAGTGTTTCACCCAAAACTTAAGTTTCTCCAAGAACTTCCTAATCATAAGCAGGAAGCCTTAGTTTTTAATATTTTAAGGGGACCTTGCTCAATGCAAGCTGTACCTGAAGACTGTGTTTGCAAAGTTTTATACAGTCTGAGTGTAAGGAGTGGTGCTTTTTTACGTATTTAAGCCTTGAAGATGCTAGCCATTTACCATTCAAGTAAGTGAAGCACCAGAGAGCGGCCCCACAACAGTTAATAAGTTGAAAATGTCAGCGGAAGAAGCCCCCAAAGTGACAAAAGGATGCAAATACCATTCAAGTGAATAACTAACAGCCCACGAGGAAATATACGGTAAGTATAGTTTCTCTATGGAGGATGTAAATGAAGGATATGAAAGAACTAAACTGTCGACTGCAACTATTCTGTTTCACACTGACAACTTGGTGTTGCAATTGCAGCAGGAAGATTATATTACTTTTCTAACTTTCAGAAAAATTACCTCTTTTCTGTCTCCATCTGCCTGCAACTTGGACACTTCCAAGATCAAGGACGTTCCATCGTGAATGTATCAAGTTATCCACAGAGTTCTATTTATATGAAAAAAAAAAAAAAAAAAAAAAAAAAAAAAATATATATATATATATATATATATATATATATATATATATATATATATACACACACATTAAGCGTTTATTTCAATATTACTTGCAAATGACACTAGTGGGCTAGATTTGGTATTAAAGTGCAATTTAAGTTCACAAGTGATCTTACACGAACTTAAACATTATAGCAGTAGTCTTAAAATGGACTGAATCTGCTTTTAAGATCAAAATTGATCTAACATCTACTTAAGTGGTCAAGCAGTTTCCTCCCCTCACAATGGGGGATACCTCCCCTCACAATAGAGAACACCTCTGCTCACAATAGGAGAATGTGTAAGGGGAGACAACTTAATTGGCTGTTGGACCAGAAATAGTCTTACTCATGTTTTAAGATCATGTAAGACTATTTGTGAACTTAAATTGCACTTTAAGACCAAATCAAGCCCACTAGTGTGAGTTATAACTAAATAAATCCAAAACATCATTTCTAAATTTATGCACAATTAATTCACTCCTGGTGACCTATACAAATCACAAGACAAATGTAGACTTGGTACTTTAAGTACCACTACATCAGACATACAAAAGTCAATAGTTTACCACCTGTTTACCTGTTTTTCTCTCTGGTGTAACTTCTGTATGGTTGTTGAAAAATCTCTCTGATGGTCATTTATGCTTACGGCAAACTCTGATTCATCTGAAAAAATAAATATGAAATCTATACATTTAATTTATATAATCAATCTACAAAGAATTATTAGAGCACCTAAAAATTATGTGCACAGCAGGGGCCAACTGCACTGCTGTGTAAACAGACACGCTAGATTATCATCAAAACTTTTCTTAATAAGTCATCCTATCTCTCAAATTTGTGTTTTTGACTTTGAATACTTTGCTTGATGGCCTTTTTTTGTCAAGAAACATGTAGTCACCTAACTGATTTTGTCTGTCGAAGCAACATATGTCATATTACCTTAGACTGTTACTGAAAGAGGCTCCTAGTTTCTGTCAAATAGTGGCTTTAACATCTGAGCTCCATTTCACAAGAAAAAATCCCTATAAAATCAGTCTTTACATAGACTGCTTAGAATATTCGCTGAATATGTGTAAGCAGTGCAAATAGGCATCAAACATTTACTCTTTGACTGGCAATTCCAATTTCTCGAAAGTGAGGTAATGTGTGTAAACATTGGGAGCAAGAGAAAACATACTTTCCATGAGTTTGATTAATTTTGAAAATCTACAGTTATAATACAGGGGCGTAACCAGACCTTTAAAAATTGTACGCACAGATTTTTAAAATTCCCAGCAAAATGTAGACTAACGCAAGAGATGAAGGACAGCGTAATTACAGCATATGTACCACACATCGCAGCTTAATTTCCATTAATAATAAAATCATCATTTAGTCAGAAATATTCTCGCAATTAAAAAAGTTTCAATATTCTTATTACCCAGAACGGTATATTTATTTAAAAGGAGGCTAGCTTCGCATATGTGGAACCCCCTTCAAATAATCCTGGATCCACCTCTGAGTTGAACTATCATACGGTTTCATTCACCTTACATGTGGATGCATGGCTCCCAAAAACAACCAATTTTACGACACGACAGAGCTTTGATATATCTAAGTTTAATTATTTGTTTGTAAAAATTGCCCCTGTCACCCTGTTAGTTTGGAGGGGTAAGTTGGGTCAAGTCCGTGTCAAAATTCTTTGAAGCTTTGCAGGAAAAATTCTTCCTTTGTTTCTCTAGCTCCTTCTTAAACCTGGTGTCCAGATTTTATCTAGTGCCCCCAGGGTTGCGAGAGCTGCTCTTTGAAAATAACACTCAGGCAGATTTTTACCTGAGATAAATATCGCCAGATATTCTCAAGAAAGAAGGTACAGAAGAGTTGAGGGCCACTGAGCCCTCCAATTAAGAGGTAAAGGAAGTTTCAGTTAGATGGACCAAGAAGTTATAAAGAAGTTATAACTCCTTGGATGGACGATTAAGATAGGACTTGTTAAGGTTACAGGCATTGTTTACCTCAGTTTGCAAGACGGGGGGAGGGGGGGGGGTCAGAACAATTGTGCCTATACGATTGGTACAGAGGATTTGTTTTTACAGGTGACTTTAATAAGCAGAGGATTTCTTTATATTCCGTGAAAAATACACTAAATTTATATGAATTAAATAATATCATGGTTGGCCAAAAAATTGTACGCACAGTGCATCCGTGCGTATGCCTAGTTACGCCCATGTAATAAATATAAACCTTACTATATAGAAAATAATTCTGTTGAGTTCACTAATTACCCAAATTGATATTGAAACTCATGCCTTCTCTGGCACCATCTGAGCCCAGGAGGGGAGACACTATGTGATACGGGACGGTGGCAGATGCTGATCTCCCAAACTAATGACAAGAGTGGTTTTGTGTTCAAATTTTTATTAAAAACAAAAAGAAAAAGAAAAAGATAATGTTACAATGAGCTTAAGTTAAGCAAGCACTTTTTTAATACTCAGTCTCTGATTTTGGTAGCATTATACTTTAAGTATCTCTTTAAAAGTCTTAGACCAGTGTTTAGTTTTTAGTTTCAATGAAAACATCTTTAGTAGCCTCTGGACTCTTGGTAGCGTCTGGTCTGGAAGAAAACCTAGATAATGCATGGGAACATCTGCTGACACTGCCCGTCTAGAATTTAATTTCATTCTGACTGCCACACAGTCCTCATGGTTGTGTACATCACACAAGATGGTCACTGCATGCTGGGGGGGTTCTACCGGTCACTGCATGCTGGGGGATTCTACCAGTCACTCGGTGAGTTGCCTAGGACTCTCCAGAATTCTCGTCTGGAACCAAAATTTCTGACTCCTAATTGGTAACTAAAACATCACCTCTTGAAAACGCAAGCCTACAATCATGGGTGTCAGCTTCCAGTCAGAATCTCTCCAGGTTCTTGACAGATTCATGTCTCTTCTAATGGCTCAAGGTACGCAGGATTCTTGTAGCTCTTGTAACTCTGCAGCACTCTTAGGCATGCGTTGGACAAGGAACATGTTCTAGCTAGAAGACAGACAGAGGGTATGTTCTAGCAGACTCCACCACAGGCAGTGACCTTCATCGGAATAACATCGCTTGGCCTGTGGCTCCTGGATTTTGCCTTCTAATAGATAAATGCAGGGATCGAATGACCTGATGAAAAAATCATAATGTGACTTCGGCACTTTTGTAGTATGTGATGAACAAGAAAATGTAAAAAACTGTTTGAAAAGTGAAAGTTACAGAAAGTTACAGGGTGGGGGGAATACTACAAAAGCACCGTGACTTCTTGGAAATATTTCCTGCCAAGAAGAGCCACTCACCAACATATGGCAGCTGACCCGACGAAGAAAAAATCGTGTTGATTTGTTAAATTGTATCAACAACATTAAGTAATAAGTAATATATTTCGCTTTTATATCAACCTATTTTTAATTACCCTTTCTACTAGTTTCCTTGCAACTGGACTTGTTTTTTCAAGTGTATTGCGCTGTATTGCGCAATTCAGTCACACCGCTGTTACACCTCTCCCAATACCCCCCCTCCCCTGCCAACGGCACCACATACACTAACCGCCATCTCTGAATATTAACATGCTATTTTTTTTCAACCTTGTACTTTGCACAAGCACACTCCAAAAAAATTATACCAGTAGTAGTAGTAGCTGAAATTGCTGAGATCGCTGCCAATAGAGAGGTTTCGCAGCCGTGCTGATATGCATACGGAAACGGATACGTCATCAGTTTATGTGTATATTTGACGTCATTGAAACCTGTAGCGTCAAATCTGTAGTGGTTGAGTGGGATATATACATCCATATACGTAGTTGAAAAGGGGGCATCTCGATAGTCCGAAGGTTCATTGGTCCGAAAAATGGTAACACATTTATCCTTTTTTTAATCAAGGGTTCATTGGTCCGAAGGTTCTATAGTGAATATTCGGACCAATGAACCTTCGGACTATTGAACCTTCGGACTATTGCTACGGCCCCGTTGAAAAACGGATATGTTTTACTTCTATTTCACACGATGTATGAGCACAAGTATCTTATATTTTGGGTTGCATGAATTGCTGAAGACTTATACAATCTCTCTGTACATATATTAGATGTTGCCCCCTTACGAAAAAGTCCTATAGGATCCTATAGGAAATTGGGAAAAGAAAGTGAAAAAAAAATCATACAGCCGCTATAAACCTGTGAGTTCAATCCGTGCGGTGTCGGACTGTGTAAATTCAATTCAAATATATTTATCTTTAGTCCGGTGGCTTAGGGCAAAAAAATGGCCAAATCGTGACACGGTGGATAAAAGCACCAAATTTTGCATGTGGGTACCTTTTGACATACTAAATCAAATTAGAGCCGTAGCCCATGGAAAAAATTTACCGTTTGGTCAAAAAATCCAAAATGGCTGCCAATTTGTGAAATTCTGTAGAATATTTACATACCTATGTTGATTTTTATCAAATAAAGGTTTTTTCTCAATGTTTTCCACATCCTTATTACGCATATTATGCATATATGTGTCCTTGGACTTTTTGAAAAATCCAAGATGGCCGCCGTATGGCATAGGAATACTAGAACATGAGTTTTCAACTAATGCCAACTAGGAAGGTGCATTGCCCACTATCTAATTAACTTTGTTTCTGAGTGCCTTATTACACAAATAATGTATTTGTGGTAAGTAACTAACCTTTATTCTCAGGCATTTCTAGAAAAATCCAAGATGGCCACCATATCAAAGGATTACCAGTATACACACAGGGCTTCTTCTGCCATGGAGATATAATATTAATTGATAAATTAGGTTTGTGTCTGAGTATTTTCCAAATCTTTTTAATCCACATAATATATATTTGATGAGAATGTTATGTGTATCCTTTTTGAAAACAACACAAAACAAAATGGCTGCCATTAGCCATAGGAGGTGGGTTTCAGTTAATACCTGCGAGAGATAGGCTTTCATATAAAATGAAGCTAAATTCAGATGTTTTTCTGTTTATTATTATTATTATTATTATTATCCCATGATACATATCTGTTAGGTAATTAATGTCCATATTTGATCATTTTGGGGAAGTCCAAGATGGCCTTCTTTTCCCTATAGGAAAACTGGTGCATTGGATTTTATAGGCACTTCTATGGCAAATGAAGGTAATCATGATATTTTGTCAAAATACTTAAGGGTACACACTTGTTACCCACCAGATAGATATCTCAAAGTCCAAAAAGAATGTGGGAAATACCGAGAAACAAAATTCATTTTATATTGAACCCAATGTCTCTCTGGCAGTAGTTGACTGTACTATTCCTTTTGTGAATTGCAGCAATCTTGAATTTTCTCAAATACGCAAGATGCACACTTGCTACACACCAGATTTATATAGAGTAGGGTTAATAAGGATGTGAACATGTCTGAACAACAAACAGCTTTATTTCATGTTGGAATCAATGTCTGAACTGCTCCATTAATTGACACCTATGTGCATCTGAATGATATATTCCTATGACAACTGGCAGCTATCTTGGGTTTTCTCCGAATAGTACTCAAGGATACGCACACTTTCTACACACACAGTCTTTCATAAGGATAAATAGGATATGAAAAACATTTAAAAACGATCTAAAGTTAACTACATTTAAATTGTACTCATTGTATCTCTGGAATTATTTGATTATGTGTACGAATATTCTAATGACAAAAGGCAGACATCTTGAATTTTCTTCAGAATACCCAAAGATACACACATGCTACAGACCAGGTATACATCATAGGGGTAATAATAAGTGGAATGAAAAACGTAAATTATTTTTAAAACAAGCCCATGGTAATGTAATTGTATAATGAACCATATGCCTCTCTAGCAACAATTGAAACTCACCTATTAGTATTCCTATGTCAAATTGTAGCTATTTTGGATTTTCTCAGAATATCCAAGGATGCACACTATTTACCCACCAGATATATATCATAGGACTACTACGGATGGGCAAAACTTGATAAGCAAACACAATTTCACCCTGGTAGTAGATGAAAGCCATAGATGTGCAGTTGTAATTCCAGTAGTATTCCTATGGCCAATGATGGCCATCTTGGATTTTCTCAAAACAATCAAATATGCACATTTATTACCTGCTAGATATGTATCACAGTGTAATAATAATGTGTAAAACACTGAAAAAATTAACTGAATTTGATAGTGAATAATGTTTTTCCTAGCTGGCATTAGTTCCAACCCTTTGTAATACAAGAAGTATTCCTATGACATATGGCGGCCATCTTGGATTTTCTCAAAATGCCCAAGAATACATGTTAGTTACTTACCACATACATTTTGTGTGGGTGGGAAGGATGTGGAAAACACTTAGAAACAAACTTAATTTGGTAGTGGAAAATTAATCTTTCCAGTTATCATTAGTTGAATCCCCCGTATACTAGAATTCCTGTGGCACATGGCAGCCATCTTGGATTTTCCAAAATGCCGAAGAACACTTCGTAGTTACTCACCACAAACATATTATGTGAGTAACACAAATTTGAGAAACAGACTTAATTTGATAGTGGACAACGTATCTTTCTAGCTGGTATTACTTGTGCACTCGTATTCCTATGGCTGTTTCTATGGCATATTCCCAAAGTCCAAGGGAACTTGTTTGCTATCTGACATATATGAATAAAATGGGTAATAAGGATGTGGAAAACTCTGAGAAAATAATTTATTTGATAAAAATCAACAAAGGTATGTACATATTTCTATAGAATTCCATAAATTGGCGGCCATTTTGGATTTTTTGACCAAACGGTAAATTGTTTGAGAGGGCTAAGGCTCTAATTTGATTTAGAATGTCAAAAGGTAACTACATGCCAAATTAGGTGCTTTTATCCGCCGTGTCACGATTTTTTCCTTAAGCCACCAGACTACTTATTCCACTTCGTACCGTTTCTCTCCTCCTCCAACATGCTCCAGAGTCCCAATCACAAATAGTATCGGTCTTTTGGGCTATCATCATGCCGAGCACTGACATGATATAATGAGATGTAGAGTGACATCCGTCAAAGTGTCAGGAACGGCTAGCGAAACGTAAATTGCATTCCCGTACTGCACGGCTACGGCTATATCTGGTATCCGTTCCCGTAACCGTATCCACACCGCTAGCGAAACCTCCCTAATTTTAAATATTTTTGAGAGAAACAATTTAAGCCTGTATACACGAACTGAAAATGTTTACTCACCCTCATACAGACTCAAAGCCTATTCTCATGAACATTATCCCGTTAAACTACCCATACACATAATATGGCTGGTGATATCTTGCATTAATCGACAAAAATCCCTTCGTTGCAGTGCTCGTCGCGTTTGTTTACCTTGCCGCCATCTTACAAATGACGTTTTAAGTGCCCCATTTTTGATGACATAATACGCGGTAAACATCAGGTGAAAACTGCCCGATTGGCTGGGGCGTGGTCCTATTGATGTCTACTCCGAAATCACGGAGAAGATATGGCAGCATAAAATCGAGATATAAAGGTAACACTAAATGAGCGAATGACTAATCGACAAGATCAACTTCGTCGTACAACTTAGACGGGACAGCAATAACTTGTTAGTTAGACATATTTAAATGCTCTGAATATAGTTCACCAAAACGGCAGCGAAACTCAGATTATTGCAATATTTTGTAGGAATTATAGTCTTAAACAAACCCATGACGTTTGCCTCAGTTAACGATAAGGGTACCTCGTGAACATATGTGTGGCCGCGATTAAACTGGGGCAATCATGTCGTCTGCCTGACCGCTTTCTGTACCCATTTGTAACGAGGCGCTGGAATTTTCAACCAGTGCTGGTAAGCGAGTTAGTATTTAATCAGAATCCCTGCCGAAAAAAAGGGCAAAAATGTGTTAGTCTTAGGGTGCATCCCAGAGATTTAGATCGATCCAGAGATTTAGATTGACCTAACTCCCTGGGGTTTCACGCTAAATTGCAGTCAGCCGAGTGCGCACCATAGTTAATAACCCCCTTACAGCTTTTAGTAGGCGGGACAGACGCTTAAGCCCGCTAAGCTGACAACAATCTAGTGAGACTCCCCACAGGGATAGATCGATCTAAAATCTATGGGAATGGGGTCTTAAACGCTTTAGAGAAAAATCAATACA